CAACCAGTGTTCAGAACTGCTGAGCCATCTCCTCAGCTCCATAATTAGTTTTTAATATGAAAATGATGTTTCATAACATAACATAATTACAAGTTACAGAATCCCTGTTTTTTTAGGTTTTGATTATGGTAGAGAAGTTTTTGCAATTTCTCTGAATAAGAAAAAAATGAAATTTTTAGTATCATATTAGTATAGTTTGTTTTAAAGGCAAAAGCTGACAGAGTTGTCAAACCAGTCTTACTTTTTATTAGAAAAATTTGATAAAATGTTTAAAAATTCATACAGAATCATACGGTTTTAAAAATAAGTATTGGGGGGCAAGAAGATGGCTCTATTGGTAAACATACATGCCACTAAGCCCAAACCTGTGTTAGATCCCCAAGGCCCATATGGTGACAGAAGAAAGCTAACTCCAGTAAGTTGTCCTCTGACCTCCCCTCTCAGGCCATGGTACCACCGTCCTCATACTCAATAGATGTAAAAGAAGAGACACTGCTGAGAACACTGATTACAAAATAAGCATCAGAGAAATACATCCATAATAATGACTAGGCAATTCCTAAGTGAACAGCTTCACTACTGGAATGACATTTATTTTATGTGAGGAATATCTATCTAGTTGTGGATTTGCTGAGATGTGCTAAAGTGAGTTAAAAAGGTCTCTACCAATACTTTTAAGTTATAAAATGTTGTTTGTGTGGGTGAGAGAGAAGTAGGACCCACAACTAGAGAACAAGAGATGGCTTAGAAGTGTTTGAAAAAGTCAGTCTTGTTTGGCAAGTAAGTTCTCCATGCACATGAAACTGTAACTTCACACAGTCTCTCTTTGAAAGCTGTATGCATTGGGTTTTAGATCTTTTCCTTGAGGCTTCAGTTTGGGAGGATAAAGGGTACTTTCTTGGATAGGATCTCAGCGTAGGCCTGGCTACATAGTCTTGATTATCAGGCCTGTGATGATTTCAATTTAGAAAAACTCTCATCTTAGAATTCGGCTGACACCTTAGTCTCTTGTTTGTAATGCAGTCTTCCTAAGCCCTCCCTACCTGCCTAATCTTACAAAAGATTCAACCAGTTTGGCACAACTTCAGGGACAATCCACTGGCTCCTTGTGAGCCAGGGTACAGTCAGAAATGAGACACAGCAGGGTGAACCAGCACCACCCAGTGGCTATGAACTAATTCAACAGTTTCTTGGACTCCAAATGCCTGGACTCTTCCAGGCCTTCAGTGCCGTGCATGGACTGCTGAGGCACCCAGTTTTGAGGAGGAGCAGCTGCTGGGTTCTCAGATTCTCCAATGTGTAGACAGTCATGCTGGCCTGCCAAGCCCCTATTGTGAAATCTGATGTGACAAATCCTTTAATAACATGTACTTGCTCATGGGGAAGACTTGTGAAATGTAGACAGAAGAAAACAAGGGGAAAATAGTGAGCATCTACCTAGAGCACAAACTCTGGGGCCAGACTTACCTTATTTTACATTTCAAATCTGTGCCATTTGCAGTTCTGAATTGGGTTAAGTTGCTCAACCTGCTCCTTGACTCAGTTTCCTTATCTCTAGCCTAGGGCTAATGGATATCTCTCTGATGCGGAGTCATTATAAGGATTAAGTAAAATATGATAAGCATTTAGACTGTGCATACATACTAAACACTCTATTCACTAGAACTTTCCTCTTCTACTGCCAACTCCTGTTACTAAAACCTTGTTACCAGGAATCTTGTTGAACACTAAGCATTCATTAAACTGTTTCCATCCAGTTCTGCAGTTTCTGTACTTTTTTAATACCTCAAAATATTAAATAGATTTTGATGTTTAAATTTGTACTATAGTGTAATATTATTTAATCATTAGTACAACTTTTGGGTGGTGCAGTGAGGGCCTCACATAATGCTAGGCAAATGCTCAACTGCTGAGCTACAGTCAACTCATTAGTATAATTTTAAAGATTGGTAATGCTATTTCTAGATATGTTACTATTTATCCTGATATGAAATGATGACCAAGTTTGGATTATGGATTTTTATCAATAACATTAAAAAAGAAAATCCTTAAAAGATTGATGCTCGTGTCTGTGCAGGATGTGGATGCTGTAGCTATGGAAGCCAGATGTGGACCTCATAGCTCTGAACCTGTTGTGAGCTGTCATGTGAGTGCCTGGAATTGAAACTGGGTCCTGGGAAGAGCAAGCAGTGCTCTTAACTGCTGAGCTATTTTTCCAGACCCAGAAACATCTTTTTAAAGGGCAAAAATCTCCCCTAAATAGGTATTCTGAAATCCCACATTCCTAGCAGTCTTTTCAGTTAGACTAGAGGATTCACTCATACTTTCTTCCCTCACCAAGCATTATCTGTGCAACTCTGTACAGTGTAGGATGCTAAATACTGGTCATTTAACTGACTAAGGCACTTTCCTGAAATACTCTGAAGTTGAGGGACACTCTCTCTGCGTAACGCAGAGGGAACACTGGAAAAAATTGATAAAATTGACTTCTAAATTGATTATTTTCAAGATACAATGGATGTGGGATAAAGTACTCTGGGCAGGAGTCAAAAATAAGTAAAATCAGAAGTGAGAATAGCTCTATTATGTATATAAGTCTTGTAACATTATCTGTAAATAAATGTAAAATGCATGATGGGAAGGAGGCAGGATGGAAAATATGGCTGGCCATACTGCTTGGACCCAGAACTGAAACTCAAGGTTGTAATTTTATAGGTAGGAAAAAGGGAACTCCACAAGGTTTTGTTTAATAAACTGTCTCAGGAAGGCAGAGACAAGTAAAACAAAAGACAGGAATAGGGCTGGATTGGAAGCTGTGACAGTGAGAGGGTGGTTCAAAGGTTAATTAATATCTGATGAAGCCAGGTATAATGGTGTATGCCCGGATCCTGGCATTTGGAAGTTAAGAGACAGAATGATCATGAATGAATTTAAGGCCAGCCTAGGCCACAGAGGCCATCCAGGAACACATCCAGAAACAGGCAGACTCTACCTCAAACAAAACAAAGAACAGGAACACAGGAAAAAAAAATAAGAAAAGCCTGACTATTTGAATGAAAGGTCAAATTAAAATGATTTGAAGATGTAAAAATAATCAACTGGATGTAGAATATGATGGCAAAGAAAAACAGTAGACAACAATTTCTAGTTTTGGATGAGGCCAGATGACATTAAGAGAATCAAAACACAAACATGAAGCGAGTCAGGAAAGAGAAAAAAGGAATAGGGTGTCTAGACATGCTGTGTTAAGCCACTGAAATAGGCAGAAGAAATTGGCAGTTGTAAATTTAGGTCTGGAGCTTGGGCTAAAGATGGAAGCTGAAAGGCTAGCTTTGTGATACTGCAAAGTACGGGAAGTGAGATCATCTGGTTAGAGTCTAAAAACAAAAGGGGTCCAAGAATGAAACCCCTAGAAATTTAAGGAGTGGACAAAAAGAGGAGCATTAACAGAATGACAAAGAACAGTAGCACTGACAAGAAAGACAAGCAGAGGAACTTATGGGAATGGGTGGGTAACTATGAAAAAGACAAGTAGAGGATCTTATAGGAAGGCGTGTCTAACTATGTCCACTGACAGGCACAGGAAGTGACTGAACTAGAACACACTAGTGATGGGCAACTGTGACCTTACCTAACAGTGACCTTAGGAGAAAGCAGTGTGATGCTGGTGAGTGGGCAGCAGTTAAGGCAGGGGTACCTAACTCTGTGAAGCCTGCTAGTCATAAACAGTATCTATGAGGGTATAGAATCTTTACAATGGAGACTTGTGATTTCTGTACAGCAAGAAGTCTTGACTGGCAGTTTATGAATAGCATGTGCTTATTTTATCTATTGTCAAAACTTGGGAATAATTAAAAAATAATTTAAAGATTCCATCCATCCAATGTACTATTATGAGTGTATGTAACTATTCCACCCTAGATCTTAGGTACAACAAAAAGCTGTAACCTTACTTTGAAGAGGGTAAGAATCACAACTTGGCCTTTAACTGGGTTTTATCATGAGCTTCCAGCAAGCAGTGAAGCATAGTCATGTGCCACATAATTATGTTGTGGCCAAAAATGAGGTTCAGACATGGTATGGTCCCCTAAGGTCCTATCTCTTAGTGACATCATAAACAGTGTCTACATGTTAGTATTTGCACAGTAGAACTGCCTGAAGTCACATTTCTCAGAATCCATACCCAGCAAGTGATGCACAGCTGTAAATAAAGATACCAGTAGGTGAATTTAGCTGCTTCTTCTGCAAATCACAATTCGGTGGCCTTGGTGGTTCTAGTGACTTAAGTGTCAGGAAATCATAGTACTGTGGCCCCTGCTTGCTTGAAAAGTCCTGGATACATCAGCACCAGAAGTAACTTATTTCAGATGTCATCTCTTATCGATGAAACTCTGGTCACAGCTGCAGGATACTCCTGCCTTCCCATTTATACTTATTCAGGGCCTTTTCGGGGGAGACCTGGCTGGCTCATAGCAAAGAAAGCAAGATAAAGGGCACAAGTCAAGTAGATTTTCCTTTACTGTTTTTGGTTCATCATGTCATTGCTACTCCTCTGCAGTTCAGGAACTTTTTCTATAACTTTGCTAAAAAGCAAAGAAAGAGTTTTTTTTCCCCTTAACCCAACAGCCTCTTGTGTGTGGTGCACATGTAGTACAAGGGTATATATGTCTGTACGCACACACAGGCATCAGAGGGTATCACATGTTCTCCTCTCGCAATCTCTGCTTTACTCCTTTGAGGCAGATTTCTCCCAACAGGCCAGCAAGTCCCTGCAATTCTCTAGTCTCTGCAACCACGAAGGGTTAGATAAGCTTGGAACCATATCTAACTTTTAAGTGGATACTGAGACCTGAACTCATGGTTTTAACCACTGCATTACCTCTAGCTCCCCAGCTAATATTCGATTTCCTTTTCTGGGACTATTAATATAATGATACATCATGTAAATAATGGTGGCAAGGGATCTCATCTTTAGGGAATCTTATCAGGGAATGTCCAAGTAAAATCTCAGGATTTATTACATTCAAATCTTTACCTAGAGTAGCCATCTTGAGATGCATTGTTAGAGGTGGTTATTTCTATAACATACAGGACAGAACAACAGTGACACCTTAGGACAGAGGTTCTCAACATGTGGATCTTGACCCCTTTTAACAAATCTGTCTCCAAAAATATTTACATTATGATTCAAAACAGTAGCAAAATTAGTTATGAAGTAGCAATGAAAATAATTTTATGGTTGGAGGTCACCACAACATGAGGAACTGTATTAAAGGGTTGCAGCATTAGGAAGGTTGAGAACTGCTGCTCTAGAGACTATTATTTATGATATTCTATAGATTTGAGTTTTAGTTTAAAACTCACTCATGAGGTCCTAGGTTCAATCTCCAGTACTACAATTAAGTTTCAGAATAAAAAAAAGAAAATAAGCCATCAAATGTCACTCTGATACCTTAAGCATGTTTTAGCACACCGGAAACAACATTACTTCCAAATTTGCTGCCTCAATTTCTTAATATTCTGTGCATTTTAAAGAGGGATCTAAGAAACCAGTAGATTATTTTCGCAGTCCCTTAGGTGTTCCTGCTAGTTTCTTACTAGGGCAGCATCTCTCAGCATAGCTAAATACTGGCCAAACAGCAACTGAAGCTGTCAGTATGGGACAATTACTTGGGTGCCTCTCAAGTCAGGCATTTCATATTAACTCCAGGTGGGGAAAAGTGATGAAAAATCCTTTCCTGATATCTAAGTCAAGGAACAAAAATCTGAATATGATCCTGCCTATGCTATATTACACTTTTCATGTTGAAGTAATATAAGTCAATGGGCTCAGTGTTTTATTCCAATGTAAATAACAAGGCTACAGTTCAGAAATAGTCTGTTTTGAGAAAACATGGCCAACTACTCACTACCTAGAAAACTAAGCAGTTCTTTATAGTTCAATATGAAATGTATTTTTTCTATTTTTCATAGAATTGAAGGTCTATAACCAATATGTAAATAAGGTCAATTTTAACACTTGGCTTTTAATTATTTAATCAATGATATAAATATTGTGTCAGTTTCTAAGGTCTCTTGATTTCAATGTATTGCTATTTACACAACTACTTTAAGCTATTTCTGGCAACTCTGGTTTGGTTGCTGGTGATGAGATCCTAAACCACCTGATACTGACAGAAGCAGAAAGTAGCATTAGATTTTTTTCCCCTTGATCTTGGGTTTTGCTAGTCTAAAAATGACTAGATTTTGATTAGAAACTTGAAAATGACAATGAGGATTTCTGAGCATATCTAAAGCTAAAAAATTACCAATAACAAAGACAAAGGCTTATATTCCATTTACTAATGTTAGCACAGAGCCCCTTATACTTCCACAAGGGGTAACTACATGTTAAATATTCAACCAATGGTTACCTTTTTTAGAAACACAATGCTCTAAGGAAAATTTGTGAGCACTACTTGCACTCCAAAAGGGGAGATAATTTTAGAGTTGTCTCAGGTGCTGTAATACGTCTACTGACACTCCCAGCTGTTTCACTAAACTAGCTGTCTGTTCCAGAATCCAAGTGAGGCTTGGCTTTTCTAAATGTTCATGCTCTTGTGTTCTGCAACATTCTGAATGTGAACAATCTGTCCGGATATGACTCTTGTCAGAGTTTTTGTTAAATTCAGCACTATTTTCACAGAGTCTTTCATCTTTAACTTCATCAATCTTTTTCTCAGCTGGAACTACATGACAAAGGTCCATATCCTCAATGGAGTCCAATAAATCTGTAACTTGGGGCTGTGGAGCGACTGACTTCAGACGTTTGAGCACACACTCTTCACACTGGCCAACTGCGTCCAGAAGATTATTGATTTTACTGACCAAAGTTGAACTATTACCATGAAGGTGACACCAGGAGAGCAAAGCACTGAATGAAAATATGAACAAGAGTTAAATAGGAAAAAAATTACATAGTCACAGGCATTTAGAATGCTAGGCCCTACACGTTGTCCTTCTACAAAACATCAGGCAGAAACAGATTAGTGATAATAATAATACATGTCCAAATTAGGAAAATAACAATGTAAATAACACTAAAGAATAAAGCATCTTTTAATACAAGCTACAAGAAGACTTAATTATATTAACTGCTTATAAATCATACCTCCTCCTTCATAGCTCTGTACCAATTTTTTTTCTTTTTTTTTTCCCCCAAGACAGAGTTTTTCTGTGTAGTTTTGGAGCCTTTCCAGGCACTCACTCTGTAGACCAGACTGACCTCGAACCAGAGATCCATCTGCCTCTGCCTTCCAAATGCTGGGATTAAAGTTGAGCACCACCATTGCCTGGCCCATTTTTTTTTTTTTTTCTATTTTCCTTGACTATGTAACTTCTATGCAATAAAATATAATTTACCTAAAGACCAGAAAAACCAGTCCCTCCTTTTTGTTCCTTTTAAGGCAGAAAACCTAGGCTTGCTAAACTATTAGAAGGACAAAACACTATCGGGAAGAGTATTTTAAAGACTTCATCCTGGGCTACTCATTGTCACAAAGTGTTGTCAATGGAATGTTTTCTTCTTTCTTGGCAGTACTCAATATTTAACTGAGACATCAGGCCTGTGAGGCAGCCCCAGGTTCTCCTTTAAGGACATTAAACAACTTCTAAACTGATCATTCTTAATCTTTGTCACAAATTAGAATCACTAACAGAGCTTTAATTTTCTCCAAAAGTGTTAAGAATTCTACTTCAAATACACTTAATTATATTTGTTACTTTTCTAGTAGACGACCCTTCCTCCCGGATTGTTTATACAATTTAAGAAAACAATGGATCTCTCTTTCTTTGGTGAGGATTGAGCCCAGGGCTGTGTGCATGCTGAGCGTACACTCTACCTCTGAGCTGCCCCCTCCCGGAAAATACTATACAAGTGAAATTGACTGCTGTGAAAGACGAAGCAGTATGCTTTCTAAGTCATAAACATGAAGTGGAGATGACCCCTTGGTCCCTTTCCTGGTGTAGTAAATTATATATTCTAGTTAATTTTCTAAAGGTCTCAACATAATTTAAAACAAACGATTCTTTTCTGTTTTAAAATTTGTGATTCTTTGTAGCAGTTTGTTTCTCTATAAAGGACAGTTGAAGCATTACCCACATCAAAGAGGCCCACTCCATTCTTAGTCACCATGTGTCATCTGAGCGTTTGACTACTCTCTAATATTATTGCTATGGCATTCTGACAGGCATTCAAAGTTCAGGGCTGAAACACATAGGACCTCTTTCCATTAGTAGTTGCAGCTTTCCCAATGGACTTCTAGCCTACAGGCCTGCCATACTACATGTGGGAGTACAAAGAGCCTTATTTGGAAGCTCATCAGTGATTAGAAAAAAAAAAAAAAAAAAAAAAAAAAAAAAAAAAAAAAGACACCTTCCTACCATTTCTTTGCAAAAACAGGAAAAGCATCAGACACACACATATTAAAATGGATGAACTGACAACGATTTTATATGCTCTGAAGACTCATGTATTCAACATTAGGAAAAGCTTTTATTTTTACATATTACCTCCATTAAAAAAAATCCATTAGAGTTGTGGTTAAAAGGATTCATTACTTAAATTTTTAAAATTACCTCAATGTTCCTCTGAGTAATCCATAGTTTATAATGACTTCTGCACCTTCTTTATAACCTTGATTGAAGCCCTGTTGGAGAGTAACTGCTTTGCCAGCATCTATTCCATCTCTGTAACCTTCCTAAAAATCAGAAATTAGTTGTAACTGACTCCAAGTAAATCTTTTCCAGAAAAGCACAGGACCCCTTTTGAAAATAGATTTAGCAGGTTTTTACTATGTTAACTGAACATGATATGGCAGAGACTTAAATCCAAAGCAGAATGTTTCTTCTAAAACCCTCTTCCTGGCTTGTACTTCCTTATCACATGTTTTATTTTCTTAAACCTTGTTTCCAGCCTGGCCTGGAACTCATAATCCTACTGCCTCATTCTCCTAAGTGATGACAGGCCTGTGCTTCGATGCCACATCCTGAACTCACTTTGGAAATATAGGGTTACTGAATAAACATTGGACAACAGTTGTTATGTAATTTTTAATACCTGTTAGCAAGTTCTTCACAGAAATGGAAACCTACATGTCTGGTCTTGGTAATGGACTACAACAGGGTAGTTAATGAGGCTGGCAAGGCCGGGGAAGAGGAAACTATTTTTAGGAACAGATGAGAGGAAGTCTGATTTTAGAAATCTAATTCGAATGTGGCATAGAGATTTTTGTCCTCTTATAATTGGTCTAGCCCCAAATTCCTAAGGCATTTTTATAATGGCATAATGGTTGTTGGACTCAACAAATACTATTAAATTAGGGTAGATCGAAACTGCAGTTTTAAAAAGGCAATTAAATGGCTGATAAATATATTGGGTGACATGGTTTTACCTTTTACTTTAAAAATATTTATGTAACATATATTTACTTGGGGGGGGGTGTTTCATGCTCCAACTTGAATGTGAAGGTCAGAAGGAACCTATTTTGTCCCTCCAAGATGTGGGTTCCAGGGGTGGAACTGAGATCATTATACTCTGGAATCCACCTCTATTTGGACACAGATCTTATCAGTTGTCACCCAAAACTAAGCTGACCCTACCCTCGTATTATTAAACAAGTTTCAATGAATGGTGAGACGGATCCGGAATGAATGACACATTTCAAGGAAAAAGTGAAACAATATCCCCTTCTCTACCTTCCCGTCCTTTGACAATAGTTTTAAATTCACCTTTACAGAGTTTTAGTAACACCACACCCAACTTTGGACTCTCCACCCACTGAACAACATCTGTGAATGTGCGTTTTCTGCCAGCCGTTAGTCTAGTCGGTGTATATTTCTCCCCTTCGGCTCTTTTCCTCCCCAAACTGCAAACTCTTGAGGGACTGGATCAAGTTCACTTTAGTCGGTCAGTCCCCTGATCCAAATCCAGCCGGGGATCTCAAAGAACGAGCCTGTTTAAAGGTTACCAAGTAACCAACCTGGAAATCCTAAGACTGGGGCGGCCGTGGGGGTCACCGCAGCCGTCCCCCTCCGTCCAGGCTTGCCCCCGCGAGCCCCAAGCCCCGCGTGGGAGACCCATTCCCGCGCGTCCCGGTCCCTGGCCATTTACTTGGATTCGTCTCCTCATGTGTCCCTGCCATTCCCGCTGCACTAACAGAGTCTCGTCCGCTTCCTCGTCAAACACGTCCTGATCCCCAGAGCTGGGAATCTCGGGAACCGCTCGGACCCAAGACATCTCCGAGGAAGCCTTGGGTCCCGGACCACCGGAAGTGCCGGCAAGTGCTTCCGGCCAGGGGGCGGGGCGAAAGGGTAGGTGAAGGATGAAGGGGCGTGTGCGTCTGCTACAGCCCTGCGACTAGGGGCTGGGTGGGGCTGTCCTCCCACGCTTCTGGGTCCGGAGGCGGGGTGGGTGCTGGGAGCTAAGTCCCGCCATTCAAGGGCTGAGACTCAGTTTCTGCGAGTGCTGAAGGCGCTGGCCAGCAGCGTGCAGCCGAAGACATTGGACTATGAAAGGTGATTCTGCGGTCAGTTTGAGATGAAGTAAAACCAGCATCCATTGGCAGTTTCCCTCCCAGCCTTCCGCTCCGGCTCGGCTCTGAGAGTTCAGGAGTGTGGCTCAAGCATTAGCCGCTTCTAGCCGGAGTACGTGTTAAAGAACTGGACGCCAGCGTTCCTGTTTTGTCCTTTGTGTGAGAAAAATGAGTCATGTCATTGAATTTTTCTGAAAAGTTTTCTGGAGTACCTAGTTTACATCGTTTTAGGCCTTTGAGGGACAGCGCTCCATAGGAATAAAAGTTCTCGCCCTGAGTTCTCAGACCCTGTGGACTTCCTATTAGTGTAGAAATGGCAGTTGACTAAGAATAATATATAAATAACCCAAAATTTAAAATGTAAATGCACTACTGTGGGAGAAGAGAAGATAGGTTACGATTTTTGTGCTGGGGATTGAGCCCCAAACCTTGTAAATGTGGAAGGAGTGTTGTGTCAGTAAGCTATTCCCCTGCAGCCCAAAGTTACTATTGTACATTTTCAGAGTTTGTATCCCGTAAATCTATATATAAAACCAAATATAAAATGTGTTAAGGTGTATGCATATATAGGTATTAATTAGAAAAAATGGTAGTGATTGAAATGAATAAAATAGAAAACTGGAAACTAATGCTTGTGAGTTGGTTCAGTAAACACTTGCCATCAAGCCTGAGGAACTGCGATCAATCACCATGATGGAAGGAGAAAACCAACTTCTGAAAGCTATTTTAAAACCAAACATTCTAATACAATGCAGTCTGAAGATATACTGATTGATACTTTTATAGAAATACAACACTGAGAAATGGTGGTAGGGAATATTAAAGGTTGTTGTATTTCTATAAAAGTTTTCTACAGTATGTATAGTAGAAACACTTCAGTATCTAGTATGCAATAGTCTTGGCTCTGATCCTAGGTGTTGGAGGCAGTGTTTAGTGGCACTGTGTAGCTTGATGGCAAGTGCATTACACAGTGTGCTTGCCGTGTGTTCAGGTCAAGGCTGCAGTGAAGCTGAACAATACAGCATAAGTCAAATGCTGCCAGAAACACCTTTGACTCCTTTTGGTTTTGAATTTTGGATTGTTTTCTGTTCAGAGACCTCTCACTGTTGCCCAAGTTTTCATGACTCTCATCTTCAATTATATGACCTCCTGAGTCAAGAAGGTGTGTGTGTGTGTGTGTGTGTGTGTGTGTGTGTGTGTGTGTGTGTGTGTGTGAATGCACATGCATCTATGCAGCATATCTGTATGCAGTGTGTATGCAGGTATATGTGTACATATGTGTGCAAGGGTGTGGATGCTGGGGGTTAATATCTGATGGCTTCCTTACTCATTCTCCACCTTATCTTTTAAGACATGGTTTCTCACTGAACTAGACAATCGTGAATGGGGTAGGCTGTCTGGCCAGTGAACACCAGGGATCTGTCCCACTGCCACTAGAGCTACCACACCAATGCCAAATATGTGAAATAGCAATTCAGAGTCAGGTCTAAATATAAGGGTATTTATTTAGGAGGATCCTACTCATCACAACAGCCTAGCCAGCCAGCAGGGAGCAAGGTAAGTAGAAGAAGGGGCCCCATGTGCTTGCTTGCCTGTCCCTCACTCTTAAGCTTTCCTCCCATCACCCTGACCATGCCCAAAAGGGTGTGGCCAGGCACACCTGTAACCAGCCCCAAGCAGGTGTGGTTACAGTGTCCCCTACACCACACCTTTTTATGTGGTTGCTATGGAGGTGAACTCGGCCTCAAGCTTATGCAGCAGGCACTTTATCAACTGACCCATCTCCCCAGCTCCTGTAGTATTTTAAAGGTTCCATGTGTATTCTGGACATAAGACCTAAGTCAGATGCATGTATGCAGATGTAGTCTTTGCTCTAATTATATCCACTGAGAGGCAGAGTTAGGAACACAATGCATGTGAAAGAGACCAAGGAGAGCAAGTATATGCAGGCAAAGTAAGCTTTCAGAAAGTGATGCTGATCAACTTCTGTGACAAGGGAGGCAGAACCAGCGTCCTGGGCTGGCGTGTGTATTTCATGATGTCTTAGCTAATGTATGAAGAGCTCTACAACAAAGAACAAGGGAAGTCATACATTTGGGTCACACGGACATGTCATGCTCCCTTGTCAGCTTAGTTATGCCTGGAGAATGTCCTGGAACCGTGTGGCCTTGGCTAGGAAACCACAGCATATCCCATAAATACTCACACCTTCAATAGCCAGATGATCTTTCAATGTCCTCTCATGTGTATTATTCTATTTTCCAAAATTGCATCCCCACTCTTTAAAAGAAGAAAAAAAACCTCATAAATAACTATGACACCCTTGCATAAATTTTGATGTCATGATGTGAACTTACTCTGGAGGATTTAAGAACTGTATCTTGCAACTCAGTATGTCTCATATAAACATACTCTAATAGGGTCAGCCTTTAAGATTCACCACATTTTTCTCCCCAGTCGCCTGCTTGTCATTCATCTTTGTCTTTACTTTCAAAGGCTCCAACAATTCTTCTTTATGTCTTTCTATTTCTCATCTCCTGCTGACTTCCATTTTTTATCTTGGTTTTCCACACTCTATTTGTGCTCTTGCAAGGTGCTCTTTGGTAGTTGACATAATAAACTCCAAGAGGGCACAAACCTTTCTTAGAGTCTCCCCAGTATCTGGCATGGACACTTAATCATTCAGCCTTGGTAACTAGGCAGCAGAAGATTTCTTTAAACCAAGGAAATTTGGTTTCTTGCTTGTTTCTCCTGAACTTTGGCAAATACTGTCTTTAGTGTTCAGCAATAGATTCCCGGGTACCACACTGAATTGCTTTTATCAAGGTGTCACTAAGGTTATGTAATATGTATTAGAAAAATTGATATGAGTGGCAAAAATAGGTGGGAGATCATTAGAAATGCAGCAGAAATGGAGCGAGGGCTTGATGGTAAGGCTAATATGGGGACTATAGGCAGTTGCCTCCTTTAATTTTGTCTCTAGAAAACTCAAGCAAGCAGGAAAAGTACTTTAAAATCCAGTACAAAGTGCTTGTTGACTACCGAAAAGGACGAAGGAGGAATGCCAGACAGGAAGCCTAATTTATCTTTCTAATGGCCTATTGATGGGCAGTATATAGAAGCATGCTCAGGTTTGTCTCATCTTTCAAAGATCTCTGATTACCTCCAGGCTGTTTCGTAGCTATTTCTCTACATTTCTCTTTCCCTTTACAACTAAGCCTCTTGAAAGAGTCTCTGCAGCCCTTCTCACTTTTTAAGTCATTGGAATCTGGCTTCCAACCCCTCTATACTATTGAAATAAATGGGGTCTGGAGGTGGAGGGTGTGGCATGAAAAACAAACAAACAAAAACTAATCAACCAGCTATCTACTTTATTTCTCCATTAAGTTATTCATTGTACATTGTTGTTTAGTATGACCACTTTGGAATTTATTGTATAGCTATATACAATATATATACTTTTTAAACCTGTAACCCTCCTTACCCAAACCAGTCACCCAAGGGATTGCAGTCCTATGCTCCATGCCTGACAGTAAACAGTACATTTTAAGAAGGTGAATTTTATGACATCTTAATTTGAAAGAATTATCAGTAGAAAAGAAATAATATGTGAACAATTGCCAGATCATACTTCTGGACAAAGCAGAAGATTAAGTGTCCCTGTTGAATACAGTCTTATTTTATGTAGTTCACTTAAAGGACAAATTGCACCATTAGTACTTGAAGAGTGGGGATCTCTAATATTGATCTAACTCAGTATTTATACCAGTAAAGCTAAATTCAACAGTACAATTTATGTTATGCACTATCACATCAAGATGGCTAGCAGGATAAAATAGAAAAAGGGGGAAAGTTTGGATGGTAAAAGCAGAGGTATATGCAAGAATAAGATGAAAAAATACAGTAAATAAACCTGAAAATAAAATAGTTTGTTCTTCCACATTTGAAAGTTATACACATAAATTCAGGTATTTATCATAGAATTTAAATTGAGCAGGCAGGAGGGAAAGAGAATGAGTTTTGCTATTAGATTGCTGTGATCAGTCAAAATACTAGCCACCGTTCTAGTTATGTGAACTGGACTTCCTTCTAGTGCTTCAGCTCTTTATCTGTGAGATGGGACCCACACAATAGACTAGAAGACGCACATTTGTCCCATGTCCTGCTTAGACATGCTTCAGTTCAGCTCACTGGGAAACCATTTCTCAGCCCCTAGAATGGCTAACACCCAAAGCAGCTAGTATCTGGTGAATTACTTTCAGCTCCCCATTCTTATTTCCCACATCTGTTCTTTTTGCTTATACCTTTGTATTGTATAAGGTATTTATATACCTTATACCTTAACATTCTCGTATACCTTTGTTTCCTTTCCCCTTCTTGTTCTACCAGATTGTGTCTATTTAATCTTATTTGACTGCCATGAATGTTTTCAGAACCAAGCTTTTCCCATTCTCCTCCAGTCTTGGTAGAAACAGCTTTCTTGCCACACATTTTTAGCAGGGTACAGTCTGATAAGCTTTGATTCATATACATACCTGTAAGTTGTCACTGCCATCAGTAGTTTTTTCATGTGTTCTCCAGTTCTGTCTTTCTATTGCTCCTTGCTCCCACACCTGCTATTCCTCAGGCAATCACTGAGCCTTTTGCTGTCACTATGCTAGTTTGTATTTTCTAGGGTGTCATATAAATGAATGAACAACATGGCTTTTTTTTTTTGGTCATCATACTGATTTTGAAATTTGTCAGTGCTGTGTCTG